TCTTCCTCAACCTACTGTATGCATGTCCATGAGACTTGACGGCAAAACACAGGACCCTGAAGCAGTGACTCCGTATCGCGTTGTTCTTGACTCTTGCCTCATTCTCGAGGATGTGGTACACTGGCTTGGTGAAGAGGCCGATGAAGGTGTCTCGCTCCGAGGTGGTGACGAAGATTCGGCCCAGCTTGAGCCTCAGCACTTTGCTCATGCGGTCGAGAGCCGTCTCAAGTTGCGCTGAGGCATCCCAGACGACGTCTTTGCCGCCTCCCGCTTTCGTCTTTGTGGCCTTACCCCGCCCCCGCGCTGCTGGTGCGGAAGCAGACTTCTCCAGCGCTCTGGTCTCGACGGCAGAGATGGTCCATCGGAGAAGGAAGCCATACATCTCCAGCAGGTTCTTGTGGTGTGGTATCGCATCTTGGTCTTCGGCTTCGAGGTCGGCGTGGATGATGTCGGTTTGCGTGGACAGCGCCGAGGAGATGAGGTCGAGAATCTTGCTGAGGATGGCTGGCGGTATTTGCGACGAGTGCCTAGATAGTCGGAACAGTTTAGAATTAGGTTCCGTGTCATATTGTTTTGTATCCTGTGGATATGCGGGGACGCACTTCAAGAGAAACTGCAGCGTGTCAAACACAGAGCTGCGAGTAATCGCATCTGGACTCTCCGCCACGGCATCGACCACAGGATTCAGCTCGCTGTTGATCAATCCGGGCGACGACAGCGATTCGGGCTCATCTTCGCAGTCTTGCAGCGCCTGCGGGGCCTCGGGGGTGGGTATCGCGGACGGATCGCTGTCGAACAGCTTAACCGCCTCATTGATGTCAAAATCCACCCGGGCGTCCATGATGATCAGAGCCGCTTGAGGAAATCAGAAATCAGAAACAAGAAGCGACGAAATGAGCGTCGGGGCTAGAGTGGGGTGTTTGCGCCGTGAGAGTTAAGATGCGGCCGCAACCGTCGCACATGCACCGACCCAGGAAGGCGCGTTGCAGCTGTTTGTTGGTGGTCCGAGCGTCTGCCATCAGTCTTCCCCTTTCGGCCTAGCCAGCCAGGGTCCAACGCGTCGGCCGCCATACCGCGAAGAAAGATTCACGCATCGTTCGACACAACATCACAAGCCACGCGCACCATGGCAAAGGCACGCACCTCACTGCGTCATGCAGAGGCAATCGACGTCCATGAGGACGACATGGGAGAAGACCAGGCCGAAGAGACACAGGACGAAAGCATGAACCCGCTCGACGAAAGCGGGCGCACTGCCGACAGCAGCGACGAAGAAGTCGAAGATTCCGTTCAAGAAGACATGGCACGCTTCGAAGAGACGTTTGTCGGAATCAGCAAGCGGTTCCGACTGATTAACCGCATTGGAGAGGGTATGTCCTACATCATTGGCTTGCAGCATGCAGGGTAGCGGGCGGGACTCACCCTTTCCACAGGAACCTTCTCCACCGTCTACAAGGCTGAGGATCTCGAATATACCAAGTACAACAACGATTGGGACATCGACGAGCGCGAGGAGGCTAAATCTCTCCCAGCACACAAAAGGCAACCCGCCAGAAAGCCCCGCTACGTCGCAATCAAGAAGATCTACGTCACGAGCAGTCCGATACGCATCTTCAACGAGCTCGAGTTGCTGTTTGATTTGAGGGACGCGGATTCAGTATGTCCGCTCATCACCGCCTTCCGCCACCAGGACCAGGTCGTCGCTGTGTTGCCCTACTACCAGCACCGCGACTTCCGCGATTACTATCGCGACATGGGCATCTCCGACATGCGTTGTTACTTTAAGAGCCTGTTCACTGCACTCGCAGCGGTACACAAGAAAGGCATCATTCACCGCGACGTCAAACCTACCAATTTTCTCTACAATACCTCGCAGTCGCGCGGAGTCCTTGTCGACTTTGGTCTCGCCGAGCGAGAGGGCACAGACTGGCACAACTGCGCCTGCCACATGTCGGAGGAGGACCGTCGATACAGAATATCGCACAGTGTCTACGCGCAGACACAGTCAGCAGGCCACACCGCTTCCGCATACCCCAAGAATGATACACGCAACAGCCGCCGTGCCAACCGTGCAGGTACTCGTGGTTTCCGTGCGCCTGAGGTGCTCCTCAAGTGCACCCAACAGACCTGCTCCATCGACGTCTGGAGTGTCGGTGTCATCCTGCTCACCATGCTCTCGAAGCGGTTCCCGTTCTTCCACAGTGCAGACGACATCGATGCGCTCCTCGAGATCACGACCATCTTCGGACGAAAGAAGATGCGAGAGACAGCCCTCCTGCACGGCCAGGTATTCGAGACCAATGTACCCAGCTATAGCGAGGGTGGGCACAGCCTGGAGAAGATCATACTCTGGTGCACAGGCCGCACAGGCGACAAGACACAACCAAAGAGGGAGCTGGATGAGGATGAGAAGGAGGCTGTCCAGTTCTTGCACCGCCTACTGGAATGCAATCCTGCGAAGCGCATCACAGCAGAAGAAGCGCTCCACCACCCTTTCCTAGTGAACGCTTACGAAGAACATGAGGGGGACGATGACATGAAAGAGGAGTTTGTAGAGGACTAACGCCACCAATCACGTCTATGATGACGATGTATGAGTAATAGCATGGAAGGCGTATAACGGCATGGGCATAGTACAGGAGTTTTGGCCATTTACAGAGCGGCGACTCAATGAGTTATTGCGATACCCTTCCGTACGGTCAAGAGCATGTTCAATATACTTTTGCTCAATAACGATCGTACATTATGATCCATTTGAGTCAGTTTGATCCCGCACGTTTGACTGCCAACTAAGCATAGAGCGATGCCATTGGGATAATTGCAGATTCATTCTCATTTCTCATTTCTCATAATCAAAGAAGCAGGGCTGTTCACTCCAGGAACGCTAATACGTTCAAGACAACCGTGTCCTCCAATTCGTCGATTACTCATCCTGAGCGCATTTCTGTGTCATACTGCGGATCTTCTCGCCAAACAGATAAACGAAAATACCCAAGAACATCAGTGCGGCCACAATGCCGCCACAGATATTGAACGCACCCTCATACCCCGCCTTCTCCACAAAAGCAATCGACCCGAACGAGATTCCAAAGCCAATGAAGCCTCTGAGCGAGCAGATGAGAACGAGCGCAGCATCGATACGCTGAGGATAAGCATCCATGCAGTACACGAAACTGGAAACGACGATACCGACGAAACCGAAGTACTCGACATTGAGCGTGACGGCGATGCCAGCCCAGCTCCAGTTGTTTGGGTTCTGCGCCGTCATACCGTAGATGATGGTCGAGATGAGGATAGATACCAGCGGGATGATAAGAGCGAGGAGACGGTATTCCGGCTGACTCACACCATCATTCCTCTTACTCATCGTCTTGACGATCAAATCGCTCAGGGAACCGCAGAAGAGCGGGACTGCAACAGCCGTTGCGACCTGTCCCGCGAAGACATAGCCCAACATGTCGAAGTTCCAGAGGTAGGGTGGTTGGACGAGCACGCCGGCGAAGAGGGCGGACATGAGGACGTAGATACCGAGCGCGGCGGAGTTTATCAGGATGAGCCACAGGATGTTGGGGAACCAGATGATTTGGAACATTTGCTTCCAGCAGGATATGGCTTCGGACCAGTGGGCGTGGCCTTTCCAGGGGAGCATGTCTTTGACGAAGCTGCGGGGCGCATAGTTGACGGTGTCGAGGGGGCGCTTGGTGTTTGTTGTTACGGGGACGAGGGTGCCGTCTTCGTCGATGCCTTGGCCGTCTGGGGAGTGTTAGTATGCATGCTGTACTGTGTGGTGTGGTGTAGGTGAACTTACTCAGTGCTTCCAACGTGCGCTCGTACTTTGTCTCCGCGACGAAAATGATGCTGAGGACTGCAATGGCGCCGCTCAGACATCCAAACACGCCGTACCACCATCTCCAGCCCAGATCGTTCGCGAGATACGAACTCGCTACGATGAGCGCAGCAGTACCAAGCGTCTGCAGCGCGCAGAACCACGCAATGACATGGCCTCTCTCGTGCAGGTAGAAAATCTCCTGTACGATGATGGGGCACAGTGCTTCAGCTTGGCCGGCAGCAATCGACATGACATCTCTGCCTGCGATGTGCGACTCCAGACTTCCACTGTACGCGCACCAGAGACATCCGAAGGAGAGCACGATGGTCGACATGAGATAGACGGGCCTTCGGCCGATGGCATGGGCTACAGGGATCGCGAGGAGGTTACCAACGCCCATATAGAACGCTGGCCAGGTTGCGAGGTCGCTGGTCTTTGGGTCTCCGCCGTATGAGGCTTGTACGATGGGTAGGATGGCGGTGATGCCACTGGCCATCAGGTTTCCGGTGGCAGCGTAGAGGCCGACGATGATCAAGATAATGTACTTTTGCCATTTCGGAAGGTTCAGAGGATCTATGTTCGTTAGCGATCCTTATCTTGATGGTTTTGATGGGTTGGAGCTACCATTGGGGTCTCTGCTTGGTGTTGGGATCAGCACGATGCCATCCTCGTCGTACAGCCTGATGGTGCCAACCACCGGCCTGGCAGCTTTCTTGTGGGCATCAACTATCTCGATGTGAGCGCTGGCTTCGTTCTTCGAGTCGTGAAGCGCCATAATGGACAGCCGCTGATGCCTCGAAACAGAGAGGCATTCCCCAGATTTTTGTACACCTCCAGCTCCGAAGTGGACGCAGCTACCAGCGCCATGGCACCTTGTTCGTGACTTGGAACGCGACTCTCAGCGCAGTGCAACCCCGGACCTCGCCCGCACTGGGCCGCGCAGCCCAATAAGTATGCGAACGGATTGTGGAGGGAGCGCGGGCTAAGCTGATTGCGGGTGTGGGGATAGCCCGGTCCAGGCAGGGGGAAAAGCTGGGAACGACATGGGGGACACGAGACGAGACATGCGGGGTACGCGCGTACCGTGTACTTACAGGCCTGGGACATTTTGAGCCTCAAGCTCCTCGGCAAATGTTCACCACCCACACCACGTACGTCACCTCCACGCACCATGAGCGAAGCCGGCATCAAGACATCGCAGCGCGTGAGCCGCTCGTGCGTCGAGTGCAGCCGTCGCAAAATCCGCTGCGACAAGAAATCCCCCTGCGCGCCCTGCGTGCGCCGCAATGCCGGAAACTCCTGCCGCCGGCCGATCGTCCGCGTCAGGGGACAGCTAACCGTCTACGCCGACTCCGAGGCTGGCAGCGCGGAGGATGTGCAACTCGAGGACCTCCTGCGCGAACGAGGCGCCCTGCGCGCCCAGATTGCTGAACTCGAGACTGCTCTTGCGCTGTCGAAGCCGTGTGCTCATAGCCGCACCAGCGAATCTACGGACTATTCTGCACCGTCGGCTTCCCTGGAGGACCTGATCCCGGCGTTTGAACAGTTCGATATCGGAATCACGACCAATGCTGCGCGTGAGGGTGGCGAGAAGGATCTCATAGATAGACTTTACGAACCTGCTGCGGATCCCATCTATCTGCTTCTTCCCAGTAAAGACGCTAGTATCCAACTCGTTACCTTCTCGCTCCAAACGCTGGGTTGGCTGCACTGCGCCGTGGATGCTGATGTGTTCTTCGGAGAACATGAAGAGTTCTGGCAGAGTACGCAGCTCGGTGCTGGCATCGATCGCGCACGGAGACCTTGGCTGGTTGTCTACCTTGCTGTCCTTGCTGTGGGCATACTCTATTCCAACCCAGACGAAATCCCCGATGTCAACCAACTACCTCAACTTGGAATGCCATTGGACAATCCTGTTTCTATTGCAGTACACACGTCTCGTCTCTGGTATGAGGCTGCGCTGAAAGAGTTAGAGAGGTATGGGTTTGCAGGCTCACCTTCTCTCCCTGTTGTTCAGGCCCTGTCAGTACTGACACTATGTCATTCCAACTTTGGTGAACACCAGCGAGAGTGGCTCATCACCGGCTTTGCGACAAACATGGCTAGATGCCTTGATATGCACAAGCTGGGGAATGAAGTCAACATCTCCAAAGACCTGTGCAAAAGACCGGAGTGGTCGTCCCCTTCTCAGCGAGAAATGGGGCGTCGGTTGTGGTGGGCTTGCGTTATCCGGGATTGGTAAGTACTGGCCACGTACGCTTTGGCCCAATCGATCTGACTGACCCTCTCTAGGCTTGGAAGTTGGTCTCGACCGCCATCAATTTCACCCGCCAGCTTTTGCTGCCATGTATCGACCATCACCAGCCAGGACGACTACATACTACCCAGAACACCCATGGCTGATAGTCCTGCTTCTTTCGAGTCTGGAAATCTCGCTACTCCTTCGCCGGCTCATTACCATTCAATCATGTGCCGTGTCTCTTACATAGTCTACATCTACATCAAAGCCAACACGCACCAGACGAATCTCAAGTTCATCAAAGCTATCGAGGAGGTTCAGACTGTTCGGCGAGACCTACCTCTGCACCTATCGCCAAACTTCCCGGCCAATGAAGACGATAGGATATGGGAGTTAGAGTACCCTTGGATACCATTCCAGCGCTATCAGATCCACTACGTTATTGACTTCTTATTGCTGACCATCGCTCGTGTGTTGTCACCGGAAAATCCAGATGATGACCCAAACTTCAGACAGCTGGCCCTCCAGTCGGCGAACAATATCCTAAACTACTACGCGAAGCCTGTTCCGAGGGTTTACAGGTTAGTCTGGGTTATATCTGCGTCAACAGTCGCAGCTGCTATATACGTATCGTTAGACATGCTTGCCAACCCGCATGACTATCGAGGTGACGCAAAACTACGAATCATCAACCTCCTAAGAATGGCATTTACTGAGCTGAGAAAGCACTCTGCCGTTGCTGTCCATGCAGCGAAAGGCTCGGCTGTACTTGAGGGACTTTTGCCCGTGCTGGAACGACACGACACTGAGCTTCCTGGAACGTCACGTACGATACACGAACTACTGCAGCAGCTGTCGATGGCTGATCACAGCAACACCAACGACTTGTCCAACTCGGCGCCTCCAATGGACGGCTTTGCCCACCACGGCAACTACGAGAACATCGACATGTTCGATGGGATTGGCAGCACACTCAATGCAACATACGGTTTTGACGACTGGGACGAAGTGTTTGCTCAAATGTGAATGATTTCTATACAAAGCTATACGAATTCGCCTCTGCCTAAGAAAGTCATACACTATGTCTTCCTCAGTACGGCTTCACACCCGCCAGCTTAAGTAGCTTGTCCGTCAACTCCGGCTTCTCAAGCGGCTCCGTCCGCTCCCACGGATCGATCTCACCGTCCACCTTGGCCTTCCCTTGTGAGTGGATATTGATATGTGGCCAATGTGTAGTCGCCTCCCACTTCTCGAAGATCTCCTTCTTCTTCGCCAGATCCTCCTTGGACGCCATGGCTGCCGGTGTGTAGCAAGCATAGATAATCGTGCGGATGTTGTCTGTCTCGGGGTACACAGCGTAGTGCATCTGTCGCGAATCCCACAGGATGAGATCGCCGGGCTCGGCGCAGACCTTGACCATCTTGCAGCCTTGGTCTTCGTACCACTTTACGTCGGTGTCTTGGAAGGGGTAGAAGTCGTAGTGGAGGGCGGCGAGGGGGCCCTTGGTTCGGTCCGGGGGGTGTTGCTTGAAGAACTTGTCGAAGAGCTTGGCTGAGCCTTCCATTACGACGAGGCCACCGTCTTTCGGACCGGCCTCGGAGACTGAGGGGGTGTTAGCAGGGTGCTTAAGAATGGTTCGGAGAAAGGAGTCTTGACATACGGTTGATGATACCCTGGACGCACGACAGGCCTTGTCGCTCGGGTGCCTGGTCGACGTGCGGCCACGGCTTGCTGCCAGCCATCTTGCCAGCATTAGGCAGTGTGAGGTTGATAGTGTCGTATGACACGATGAGCTCGTTTGTGTTCCACAACTTCTCAAACGCAGCTAGAACACCAGGTTCCCTGTTCGCAAAAGCATCAGCCACCAAGTTCGACGCGTCGTTAGTGGATGGGTGTACTCACTGTCTAGCTTCCCAGACATACTTCTCATGTGCAGCGCAGTAGTTGAGGTACATGCCGTTCTTGAAGCTTTGAGGCAGATTCTCCTTGGTCCATGTCTCTGGCTTGTTGATATCGAAGTCGTTGGGGAATGTACCGAGCCAGTCCATCATCTTGTTGCGGTACTTCAGAGCTCGCTCCTTGGGCACGACGCCCTTGAGAACGACATAGCCCTTCTCGTAGAAGTCATCCCGCCAGTCGCCGTACTTTTGCTGAGCAGTGCTCGTGTTCTCGTTGTCGTCAAGGAAGGGCGCCATAGTCGCAATACAATGAGTTGATGAGTTTGAAATGAAGTAATGGATTCGGAGGTGATGGCACAAGATATTCCTCCACTGATATACCTCACACCCCTCTACAATCCTCTCGGTCACATTACCCCGGCTCGCCCGTCCACGGCCGCTCGCTGCGGGGACAGACAAGCTTCGTTGTGGGGCGGACCCTGCGACTCACTGCATCACGGTCGAGATCGGGCGAGCCTTAGCGCGCATTTGCATCTCGAAACACTCCACATGCCGACGCTACACCTCGAGAGCCGTGTGTAAATCTACAAAGGCAGGTCACTCTGTAGACGTGTCGCGGCCGAGAACGGTCGGGCGGTTTCCACGGAGTCCACCGGCGACAATACGCTCTTTTCAAAACCACGATGCGGCCTCCTCCTTCCCATGTTGCTGCAAGTCACTCGCAACAACTTCTTTGTCCGCTCTTTTCATACTGCAATCATGCCTCTCGCTTTTCAGGTCGCCAATCTGGCTGTCAAGCCGCCCAAGGTGGGTGAAAATGGCTACCAAGGCTTCAATCCGCGCAAAGAGACTCTTCGTAAGGGGTACCAAAGTCGGGATGGCGCTCGCGCACTTTCTGGAGACATGATTGCTGAGCACGATGTTGCTGTCAAAGTCAGAGATGGGTGTACTTTATACTGCGATATCTACCGGCCAGTCGGTAGCGATGGGAGCGAGAAAGTGCCCGCGATTGTGGCCTGGAGTCCTTTTGGCAAGAAACATACGGGTATTGATATGATGTCAAAGGTTCGTATTCACCGTACAGAATAAAGATTCAGAATGAGGAAAGACTAACATCATCCAGGTCAAATGGGGTTGCGGTGTGCCGAAAGGCTGCCTCAGCGGTCTCGAGCGCTTCGAAGGACCCGATCCGGCAGAATACGTTCCTCGGGGGTATGCGGTTGTCAACGTAGATGCGAGAGGTGCGGGAGACTCAGATGGAGACATTGTCATCATGGGAAAGCAAGAAGGCGAGGATGGGCACGACGTGATCGAAGAGCTCGCAAAGATGGACTGGTAAGATTCGCACCAGTCTTCCGGATAACACCGATCTAACGATGATACAGGTGCAACGGCTCGATCGGACTGGCAGGCAACTCACATCTCGGAATCGTCCAATGGTTCATTGCCGCAACACAACCTCCCTCGCTCAAAGCCATCGCACCCTGGGAAGCATGCGGCGATCTCTACCGTGAACAATTCGTCCGCGGCGGAGCTTGGGACAATGGCCTCTTCGACTTCATCACCGAGCACGTAATCCGGGGCAAGAACGGACTCGAAGACTTCAAAGAGATGTACCGTCGCTCCTCAACCATGAACCCCTACTGGGCAGACAAGCGCGCCGACATTGCCAGCATAAAGATCCCAACATACATCGTCGCGTCCTACTCCAGTTTCGTGCATACCATGGGCTCGATACGCGGCTGGATGCAAATCGACACAAAAGACAAGTGGTTAAGATGGGACCCGTATCAAGAGTGGTACGATCTATGGGCCGTCCAAGAATCCATCGACGAACTCGCCTCCTTCTTCGACCGGTACCTAAAAGGCGAGAAGAATGATTGGGAAAATACACCCCGCGTACGCATGTCCTCCCTCAACTACGGCGACAAAGAAGCCATCTACCCCATCATCGAAGAAGACTTCCCCATCCCACGAACAGACTACCGCACCCTCTACCTCTCCGCCGACAACAAGCTTGAAGCCACCGCACCAAGCACGGCCGGCACCTTAACCTACAACTCCGAAAGCAACACTTCCCCTGTCTCCCACGCAGCCTTCACAATGACCTTCGACAAGCCTACCCGCTTAATGGGCCTCCCCAAAGCCGTCTTATACATGTCCTGCCCCGACTTCGACGACATGATCGTCTACGTGCTGATCCGCAAACTCGACAAAACCGGCAAACCCATGATCGCCATAAACATCCCCTGGTCTGCCGCGCCCTACAAATCCGCGTCTGAAATCCCCGAATCAGACTACTCGAACTTGATGATCTACTACGGCCCCACAGGCGTCCTCCGCGCCTCCCACCGTAAAACCGATCCCTCACAGTCTATCCACCCACAATACCCATTTCATACGCACGAAGAAGTGCAGAAGATACCGTCGGGCGAGGTGGTGAAGTTGGAGATAGGGCTATGGGCTATGGGTGTTGATTTTGAGGCTGGAGAGGGGATCAGTGTGCAGGTTAGTGGCGAATATCCTCTTGTGCAGGAGTTTGGTCCGAGGAAGAAGGTGGAGCTTGAGGAGAGGAATAAGGGGACGCATGTGGTGCATGTGGGTGGAGAGTTTGGTAGTCATGTCGTTTTGCCGTTTGTGTGAGGGGGGTGTTGATGGTGGGGAGGATGGGTATACCTAGAAGACATCGGGGTTCTATGGATGTTCGTTATTTTACCAATGTACAAAATGCAGAGCCTCAAAACACAGCCACAGCGCGTCAATCTTCGTATCTCTTCCCGTTAGCCGTCCAGAAAATCTCCCGTATGTCTAAATTGGCACGCCTTACTGCCCTGGATCTTCCCTCTTTTGTCCTAGCTCCCTGCCAAAAGCTCTTGGCGTATCGGGCGCCTGACTCTAACGGGTTACGCGCGATGAGGCTCTTCGTACGACTACAACTACGCGAGGACGTTTAAACGTTAATAGGGGCCCAGGCGTTGGTAAAGTGGGGAAAAGAACTTTTGGTGGCATGGTTGGTATAGAAGTTAGATGAGAGCCTCGGGATGGGCATTGCTTGAGTAAAGTAGTAGAAGAAGAAAAGTGGGTAAAGTGCCGCTGGTGCCGGTGGATGGGATGAGTATAAGGGAAAGGTGAAAGTAGGTTAGGTACGGATCAAACAAAGACGGAATACTACATATCTCCCGCACGACTTCGGATCCACGAAAACATCTCTTCGTTCAAAATATAGCGAAAACATCCTCACCCGCACAACACCACCCCACAGCCATGTCTTCCCTCACCTCTTTAGACACCTTTCTGTTCCCCTCCCCAACCACCCCACCCCCCTCGGGCACAGTCATGATAATATCCGGCACCCCCTACCCCACGCCCTTAACCTGTCCCCCCTCATCACAAAACATGTACTTCAGCGACGTGTCCGACGCGTGGTGCATGTACAATATCGGCAACAACGTCAGCAACAAAACGATCCCTTACCTCGCCTCGTGCTGCAAACCCGGCGCCGAGGTGAAAATGTGGCAGGACTGCATGCTTTACTGCGAGGTTACGCGAGAGCAGAGGAATGAGTGGAGGGAGTGCGTCGAGGAGAATTATCCGGAGGCGAAGACGGATAAGAGTTTGAATCTTCAGCAGGGGTGCTTCGGGTGGAGTGAAGAGTTGGAGGGGATAGAGGGGCCGAATGGGACGAGGGCTGCGGAGGTGGCGCAGAGTACGACGGCGGTGGGGAGTGCGGTGGAGACGGGGGATGGGGAAGGTATGTTAAGACTTGACGAGATGCGTGTGGGATGTTTGACTGACTGACTGATGTTAGGTAAGGCGAGTGGAAATAGAGCTTCTTTGCGGCTGGTGGGATGGGCGGTAGCTGTCCTGGCCGTGGGAGCTGGATTTTTGGCTTGAGTGTCAGTTCGGTGTTGGGCTGAGCTACGAAACAGAAGATAGACCGTTATATACCCATGGAGAAGGAGAAAATACTGTAAGATAGATGCGAGGGCTGCTTGATTAGTATAGTCATCACCGTAGTAATGCAGAGCATCAGTGACATCGTGAAGCGTATGCCATGCGCTGCCACCACTCACCATGCAGGCGGCCGTGAATGCGTCTGATGTATACACGATATGTTTTACAATTCCC